GAAACTGGATTATATGGCAGTGTAGATCCAGCGTTAGGAGTGTATCCTAGACCCCATCTACACTGCATATAGGACAGTTTGAAACTGCATTATATGGTCAGTGTAGACTCATACAATGGAGAAGGAGGAGAAAGAGAAAGAGAAGGAAAAGGAGAAGGAGGAGAAGAAGAAGAAGAAGAAGAAGAAGAAGAAGAAGAAGTAGAAGTTTATTTTTCTACCTCGCCTGAAGGGACTCGGGATGGCTTACATGGGGCCAAGCTAGAAAAACATGCAATTAAAACAAGGCAAATAAATATTAAAACAGTGCACAGCCAGAAATACTTCTAGTCTCATGGGGGGGGGGGGGGCTGGTGTACAAACAAGTTGGAGAACAGGCTGCTCAACAGCACAGGAATAGAGCAGTTATAATAGGATCATTTTAGTTTAAAATATAGTAATCAAATATAGGAGCTGCCATATAATGCAGTTTAATGGCATTATATAGTCAGTGTCGTTGAACAGCATTATATGGGTCTTTCCCGGATGGATTATATGTCAGTTTAAGTGGGGCCCTAGACTCTGAACATCCCTTTCTATTGCATTTTTTTTCAGTGGACTTTTAAAAGAAGGTCACTGAGCAGTTTTTTTCCCTGTCAGAAGCAACTTGAAAAACTGCAAGTTGCTTCTGGCGTGAGAGAATTGGCCGTCCAGGAAATGCCCGGATGTTTAATGTTTTCCCATCCTCGTGGGACGCTTCTCTCGCGTCCCCACATGGGAAGCTGGAGTTGACAAAGAGAGCTCATCCGCGCTCTCCCTGGATTCAAACCTACGACCTGTCGGTTTTCAGTCCTGCCAGCACAAGGGTTTAACCCACTGTGCCACCGGGTGCAGTTACTAAGATGCTTTTATGTTTTGCCTCTTAGTTTTGATGTATGAAGTGTCTTGTAGAGCTTGGAAATCCAACCACTCTACGCCATTCTCATTCAAATTTTCATCATTCAGTTACAGGAGTTCAGAAGGCTCTTTGATTGTAGGTGAACTATAAATCCCAGAAACTACAACTCCCAAATGTCAAAGTCTGTTTCCCCCAAACTCCATCTGCGTTCAAAATTGGGCATGTGAAATATCCGTGCCAAGTTTGGTCCAGATCCGTCATTGTTTGAGTCCACAGTGATCTCTGGATGTAGGTGAACTACAACTCCCAAACTCAAAGTCAATGCCCACCAAACCCCTCTAGTGTTTTCTGTTGGTCATGGGAGTTCTGTGTGCCTAGATTGGTTCAATTCCATCATTGGTGGAGTTCAGAATGCTCTTTGATTGGAGGTGAACTATAAATCCCAACAACTACAACTCCCAAATGACAAAATCAATTTTTTTGAGTGACGGGCACTTCTTGGGTTAGTAGGTGTCTTGTGGCCAAATGTAACGGCAATTCATCCAGTAGTTTTTGAGTTATGTTAATCCCACAAACGAACGTTACATTTTTATTTATATAGATACTGAATGCTTTTAATTGTATTTATTATGAATGTATGCATCGAATTGTTGCCAATCTGTAACCCGCCTTAAGTTGCCTAGGGCTGAGAAAGACGATCTAGAAATATCACAAATAAATAAATAAATAAATAGGGACAGTCCAACGACAGATGAGCATGCTGCCCATACATAATGCCACTGGTCTTGGTAGGACGCTCCTCTCCTAACATGGGAGGGCTCCCGTGTTGTGCTGTCTCCAATGGTCCATGTGATGAGGTCATAGTATAGATATATGTTTGTTGTTCATTCGTTCAGTCGTCTCCGACTCTTTGTGACCTAATGGACCAGCCCACGCCAGAGCTCCCTGTCGGCCATCACCCCCAGCTCCTTCAAGGTCAGTCTAGTCACTTTAAGGATGCCATCCATCCATCTTGCCCTTGGTCGGCCCCTCTTCCTTTTTCCTTCCCCAGCATAATTGTCTTCTCTAGGCTTTCCTGTCTCCTCATGATGTGGCCAAAGTACTTCAACTTTGTCTCTAGCATCCTTCCCTCCAATGAGCAGTCGGGCTTTATTTCCTGGATGATGGACTGGTTGGATCTTCTCGCAGTCCAAGGCACTCTCAGAACTTTCCTCCAACACCACAGTTCAAAAGCATCTATCTTCCTTCGCTCAGCCTTCCCTATGGTCCAGCTCTCACATCCGTAGGTTACTACTGAGAATACCATTGCTTTAACTATGCAGATCTTTGTTGCCAGTGTGATGTCTCTACTCTTCACTATTTTATCGAGATTGGTCATTGCTCTCCTCCCAAGAAGTAAGCGTCTTCTGATTTCCTGGCTGCAGTCTGCATCTGCAGTAATCTTTGCACCTAGAAATACAAAGTCTGTCACGGCCTCCACATTTTCTCCCTCTATTTTCCAGTTGTCAATCATTCTTGTTGCCATAATCTTGGTTTTCTTGATGTTTAGCTGCAGCCCAGCTTTTGCACTTTCTTCTTTCACTTTGATTAGAAGGCTCCTCAGCTCCTCCTCGCTTTCGGCCATCAGAGTGGTGTCATCTGCATATCTGAGGGTGTTAATGTTTCTTCCAGCAATTTTTACCCCAGCTTTGCATTCATCAATCCCTGCACATCGCATGATGTGTTCTGCATACAAGTTAAAAAGGTTGGGTGAGAGTATGCAACCTTGCCGTACGCCTTTCCCAATCTTAAACCAGTCTGTTGTTCTGTAAATAAATATATGTAGGAGTGTGGATATTTGAAGTCTCAAACACCTTCATTTTTTGGGAGGGAATGTCACTACCAATTGATTGGGTTGTTGCACTCCAGGACAGGAAAAGCCCTCTGACTTTAAACATCACACTGTTGGATGGAAAACAATCCTTTTATTGAAGATAATTAAAAAGCATTAAGGTTAAAAAACACTTTAAAGAAATAGGTAAATCCAATTAGGTAGGAAGATAAGCAGAAAAAAAGTAGCCCAGGGTAATAGTCCAGCAAAGTCGATAAAAACAAAGTCAAAACTTCCCCAAGTAAAATGTAGGAAATCAGGAAACATGATCCCAAGACATCAATATAGAGCATAAAATCCAAGAATCAAAATCATGAAACAAAATGGCACTTAAAACATGAATTTCCCAAGTAAAACTTGCATGAACAAGAACGAGATCTTGACTTGATTCCAAACGATGCTTCATCTGACTACATATCCTGTACTTGGGACTTTTGTCTCCTCATTAGCTAAGTCTCTAGCATTCAGAAATTGGTTTTGTTTTAACTGAGAATTTCTTATCTTTTTCTTTCGGAGCCTAGCAGCCCACTGAAGCCACTGTTCAGCTCTCCTGTTTTGACTAATCTCCTGGGCCAGGTGCCGAGCTGTTTTCATGTTCCCTATCATGGGAAGTCTCTGGTAACAATTCAGGAAGCACACCATCATCCCCACACCCCTCAAGGACATTCTCATGGGAATCTAGACTTTGATCTTCCCATGATAGGGAACATGAAAACAGCTCGGCACCTGGCCCAGTTGCAGAAATTAATGAGATAGACACGAGGAGATTAATCAAAATAGGAGAGCCGAACAGTGGCTTCAGCGGGTTGCTAGGCTCTGAGAGAAAAAGATGAGAAATTCTCTTAATATCACTGACCAAACTATTGCCATCTTGAAACTCATCTTGAAACTCACTGACATCACTCCCCACATCCAAAGCACCCTGATCCTGGAACACAATCACAGGCTGAGCTCCAACACGGGTTCACTTTCCTCTCGATTTATTTCTTGCATTTTTATCTGCTCCCAATGGATGGATCTACGCTGTAAAATTAATGCAGTTTGACTACACTTTAATTGCAGTGTCTCAGTGCTATGGAATCCTCTGATTTGCAGTTTGGTGAGGCACTGGCACTCTCTAGCACAAATGTCCTTGAAAACGTACAACTCGCATAGCATTGAGGGGTGTCAAATCGCATTAACTCAACAGTGTAGATGTACCCAACATCTCCATATTGGGCACCCCCATACTTAATTCTATCCAGGGTAGAGCGAAGGAGAAATGGTTTTCTTCTTGTTGTGGAAATGTCCCTTCCTATGACCATTTAATCAATTTTTCTGATGCGACACTCTTCCCATCATTACCCAGCTGTGACAATAGAGCTGGATTCCACTCTGTTTCACATAGCCACAAAACATGATAATTATGGTTTTGTAATTTTGACAGGTTAGGAACAATGGCAGCTTTGTTTGTTTTTCAGGGTTTGAACTGTGGGAGAGACCGTTTGTGCATGCAAATCGTTTATGTGTGTTGATGGATGGGTGTATACAAGTGTGTGCCAAAGTTAATGGCAAACATAGCGAAGGGCACAACATAACAGCAAAGTGTCCAATCTCAATTTAGTATGAGACCCCATCTACTGCTAACATGTGACCATTGACATTCTCCAGAACCAGGGAAAATGCCATCACTGAATGAGTACATATGTGGCAATATTGGGCATGTGGGTTTGTTGGAGAAATAACATTATTTTTAATGTGAAATTTGCTGAAAATCCCCTTTCCGTACAATCACAGCCATTGTACTAGTTTGGCTCCAGAGCTGTGATGACACAATGGGTTAAACCCTTGTGCTGGCTGGACTGCTGACCTGAAGTTTGGGTCGCTGATATGAAGGTTGCCAGTTCAAATCGCGAGACGGAGTGAGCTCCCATCTGTTAGCTCTAGCTTGTGGGGACATAAGCCTCCCAGCAGGATGGGAACATATCTGGGCATCCCCTGGGCAACGTCTCTGTAGATGGCCAATTCTCTCACACCAGAAGTGACTTTCAGTATGTTCTCGAATCGCTACTGACATGATTTTAAAAAAAAGTTTGGCTCCCAGCTGAAAATGATTTCCTAAGACCTGTTTTATTGTGGAGAAATGTAATGAGGGAGTTTTGTTTTTTTTGTCGTGTCAGGAGTGACTTGAGAAACTGCAAGTTGCTTCTGGTGTGAGATAATTGGCCGTCTGCAAGGATGTTGCCCAGGGGGCGCCCGGATGATTTCATGTCATCCTTGTGGGAGGCTTCTCTCATGTCCCCGTATGATGAGCTGGAGCTGATAAAGGGAGCTCATCCGCCTCTCCCTGGATTCGAACCTGTGACCTGTCGGTCTTCAGTCCTGCCGGCACAGGAGTTTAACCCACTGCACCACCGGTGACTGCCAAGGAATGCTTCAATAACTATAAGAACAACAATACTATATAAGAAAGTGCTTAAGGGCTCCAGAAATATCAATACATTTATAATGGCATATTCCTTTATGCATTGGCATGTGTGTGTGTGTGAGTGTGTGTGTTTCTGTGGACACATATTTAATTGTTTGCTGTTGTTAATATTTAGTGATGTCAGAATCTATATAAATACAAATAAAATGTTCATTTGTGGGATTAACATAAGTCAAAAACAACTGGACTAATTGACACCAAATTTGGATACCACACCCCTAACAGACCAACGAGTGACCATCACTCATACACCCCCTCCCCCAAAATAGAAAGGAATTAACAACCTAAAAAAGCTATATGACAATACAGAAAAAGGGGGAAGGAAGAGGGAGACAAGGAAGGGGAGAAAGAAAGAAAGAAAGAAGAGAAAAAGAAAGAAAGAAGAAAGAAAGAAAGAAAGAAAGAAAGAAAGAAAGAGAAAGAAGAAGGAGAAGAGGAAGGAGAGAAAGGAAGGAGAGAAGGAAAGAAAAAGGAAAGAAGAAAAGGGGGGAAGGAAGGAAAGAGAGAAGAAGGAGGAAGAAAAAAGGAAGGAAGGAAGGAAGGAAGGAGGAAGGAAGGAAGGAAGGGAAGAAGGAAGGAAGGAGATAGAGAAGGAAGGAAGGAGAGAAAGAGGAAGGAAAAGCAAAAGGGAGGGAGGAAGGAAAGAGGTAAAGAAGGAAGGAGAGAAGGAAAGAAAAAAGGGAAGGAAGGAAAGAGGGAGGGAAGGAAGGAAGGAAGGAAGGAAGGAAGGAAGGAAGGAAGGAAGGAAGGAAGGAAGGAAGAAAAGAGAGAAGGAAGGATGGAAGGAAAAAGGGAAGGAAGGAAGGAAGGAAGGAAGGAAGGAAGGAAGGAAGGAAGGAAGGAAGGAAGGAAGGAAGGAAGGAAGGAAAGAGGTAGAGATGGAAGAAAGGAGAGAAAGAAGAAGGAAAAGCAAAAAGGGAGGCAGGAAGGAAAGAGGTAGAGAAGGAAGGAGAGAAGGAAAGAAAAAAGGGAGGGAAGGGAAGAGGGAGGGAAGGAAGGAAGGAAAGAGAGAAGGAAGGATGGAAGAAAAAAGTGAAGGAAGGAAGGAGGTAGAGAAGGAAGAAAGGAGAGAAAGAAGAAGGAAAAGCAAAAGGGAGTGAGAAAGGAAAGAGGTAGAGAAGGAAGGAGAGAAAGAAAGAAAAAAGTGAAGGAAGGAAAGAGGGAGGGAAGGAAGGAAAGAGAGAACGAAGGATGGAAGAAAAAAGCGAAGGAAGAAAGGAAGGAAGGAAGGAAAGAAAGAAAGAGGTAGAGAAGGAAGAAGAGAAGGTTAAGAAGGAAAGGGGGAGCAATGGAAGGAGGAAAATAAGGAGAGTAAGAGGGAGGGAAGGTTGTCCACAGCAACTCGTGGCAGGTACAGCTAGTTAACTATATTTTTATGAATGGTTCTGAGGTTGAGGTTTTTTGTTTGTATTTTTGTTGTAAATCGTTTTGAATATAAACAGTGGGATATAAACACAGGAGTGCTTTGAAAGCAGTCAGAAGGAATGGTTTGGCTGCTGCTTCCCTCTGATCTTCACTGTATTGTGAATCTAGGTTTAGTGTTTTTGAAGGGGAATATTCATTCATTCTCAACCAAGGAAACCACATCCCTGAGTCTGCAGGACCTGAGCGATGCTGATGATGATGGGATGACCTGAAGGTCTCTCATTCATCAGGTTGCCATAATTCCATAACACTCCTGCACCACTTCCTGTAAAAATCAGGGAAGGGTTTACTGCATGGATGGTAATCATGTGCTGCAACTCCCAGCAGTACAGCCAATGATGAGGAATGCTGGGAGCTGTAGTTTGACCTTCTCTGGAGGCTTTCATTCCTATTTTATTGCTTCCTTTTTGTGCTTCTACAAACCAATTCTTAGTGGGACCAAAACAGAGAGTAGATGTATATGTCTCATCTCTTATGGCATTGAGGTTCTTACTTTTTTCAGTCTGAATCACCTGTTTATTTATCTCTTCTGTTTTTCTTCCCTGATCTCAGGGGACAGTTTCTATCCTGTCAACAGCAGCCTACTCTCCCCTAAGAATGAAAGCCACAATCAGATGTTTAGAGGGAACTATACCTTCTCCTCCTATTACCAACACTCTTCTCCTGTGGCTGCCATGTTCATCGTTGCCTACACCCTCATCTTCTTCATGTGCATGGTTGGCAACCTGCTGGTGTGCTTCATTGTGCTGAAGAACCGCCAGATGCGAACTGTCACCAATATATTTATCCTTAATCTGGCCATCAGTGATATCTTGGTGGGGATCTTCTGCATGCCAACAACCCTAGTGGACAACCTAATTACAGGTGAGTGGAAGAGGAAGGAGTAACACAAAGGCTGTAGTCCAGCACCCCTTCACAGTATAACACACATTTCTGCATGGAGAGATATACAGTGGCAACTATTTGCAATATTGTGTAATGTATTGCTGCATTACAGGGATGGGACTAGATGGCCCTTGCGGCCTCTTCCAATTATGACTGGGTATCATGCAACAAACAATGCACAACCATAGTGTATATAAAGCAGGAAATTGGAATGTGCTTCCGCGATGCACAATAATATGTCTGTTATACTCTAAAGAATAATTCACACTGAGTGCATAGTATGATTTACAAAGGCATAGGCTAGTAATGAGTTACCATCTTCTATGTCAGCCAGGGGCGGCTCGTCCACTACGCCAAGTAAGTGGTTGCAGAACACTTTTTTTGCCAGGGGCGCAGAGGCGCCTCTGTAAATGCCCCTCGACTGCCACTTGAGGAGCGCCCCCTCAGCTCACAACAGCCCTAGCAGTCCGGGGGAAGCCTCGGCTTTCTTGCCTCGCTGCCGGGCGATCCTCTTCCCAAAGGGGCCGGGCCCTTGAGCCTCGCCTAGCCCCTCTCGTTCCTGCTCCACCTGGCCCCCGTTTCAATCGTTCTCCATGTTTGATCCCTTCCCCATGACTGGCTCCCTTCCCCGATCGCCCAGCGCTCCACCCGCCTCCTCTCCCCAATCCGCGAGTGGGTCAAGGGGCGGAGCTGCCGCGTCTGGCCCGCTTTGGGTCCGGAGGAGTGTCTGAAGACTCCAGCGTGCACACCAAAAGTCGCCTCTTCTCCTGACTTTCTCTTCAGCCATTGGGACCAAGAGAGAGAGAGAGCCCCTCCGGCTGGAGGTATCTCCCACCTCCGCTCCCTCCTTTGTTTTTGCGCCTACCTTCAGGAAAGGTGGGCATCTCCACCTCTCTCTCTCTCTCTCTCTTGGTCCCAATGGCTGAGGAGAAAGTCAGAAGAAGAGGTGACTTTTGGTGCACACGCTGGGGTCTTCAGGCACGCCTCCAGACCCAAAGCGGGCCAGGCAAGGGAGCAAAAGCAGCAAGTGTAGTTACTGGGATGTATAGTTCACCTAAAATCAAAGAGCATTCTGAACTCCACCAATGATGGAATTGAACCAAATATGGCACACAGAACTCCCACGACAAACACAAAATATATATCAATGATTGGTTGGGGGGGGGCACCAAAATACTGTTTGCTTACCATTGAAAATTACCTAGGGCCGCCTCTGATGTCAGCGTTTCTCAATCTGGGAGTTGGGACCCCTGGGGGGGGGGGGGGGGGGGGGGTCGTGAAGAGGTGTCAGGGGAGTCACCAAAAACCATCAGAAAACACAGTATTTCTGTTGGTCATGGGGTTCTGTGTGAGAATTCTATCATTGTGGGGTTCAAGGAGCTCTTTGATTGTAGGTGAACTATAAATCCCAGCAACTATAATTCCCAAATGTCAATATCTATTTTCCCCAAACTCCATCAGTGTTCACATTTGGGCATATTGAGCAGTCATGTCAAGTTTGGTCCAGATCCATCATTGCTTGAGTCCACAGTGCTCTCTGGATGTATGTAAGTGGTTCTCAACCTGTGGGTCCCCAGGTGTTTTTGGCCTACAACTCCCAGAAATCCCAGCCAGTTTACCAGCTGTTGCGATTTCTGGGAATTGAAGGCCAAAACATCTGGAGACCCACAAGTTGAGAACCACGGATGTAGGTGAACTACAACTCCAAAATTCAAGGTCAGTGCCCACCAAGCCCTTCCAATATTTTCTGTTCGTCATGGGAGTTCTGTGTGCCAAGTTTGGTTCAATTCCATCACTGGTGGAGTTCAGAATGCTCTTTGATTGAAGGTTAACTATAAACCCCAGCAACTACAACTACCAAATGACAAAATCAACCTGCCCCCCAAACCCAACCAGTATTCATATCGGGTATCTGTGCCAAATTTGGTCCAGTGAATGAAAATAAATCCTGCATATCAGATATTTACATTATGATCCATAAGAGTAGCAGCATGACAGTTATGAAGTAGCAACGAAAATAACATTATGGTTGGGGGTCACCACAACATGAGGAACTGTATTAAGGGGTTGGGGCGTTAGGAAAGCTCTATGTGGTAGTAATGACAATGTTGAAATGGCAAAGAGTTTCCAATGAGATTATAACAGTTTGATGAAAATATGTCGGCATGTCGAGACCCCTTGGCTTTAAATCCAGTGTGGGTGTTCCAGTATGTCTTATAGTTTCAGAAAATGAGAGGATGTAAATATTTTCTAGAACACTATTTTCTTCTAACAGCTCCCCCCCCCCCCACTTCGTTGTATAGCCTTTCTTTTGTGAGCTGACTCATCTTGGTGTGTCTATGGCAAATTTCAGTTGCAGTTTGAATAATACAGTGCTGTGTGCAGATATTAATTTTGTGGTCTTCAGAAGTGTTGTTTATTTATTTATTGAAGGCAATCTAAAGACAATTAAATATGGTGCCACTTATACATTGACTTGAGCACGTAATATTACTTGTAGTCTGGAAATTCACTAATTCTCATGATAATCCAATAAACAATAGGTTTTTTTATGTTTAACTTCCCTACATGTATAGTGGGGATATTAAACAAAGATCTGGAATTTATTTAGTACTTGTATTGTCGAAGGCTTTCATGGCTGGAATCACTGAGTTGTTGTAGGTTTTTTGGGCTATATGGCCATGTTCTAGAGGCATTCTCTCCTGACGTTTCGCCTGCATCTATGGCAAGCATCCTCAGAGGTAGTGAGGTCTGTTGGAACTAGGAAAAGGGTTTATATATGTGTGGAATGACCAGGGTGGGACAAAGACTCTTGTCTGTTGGAGCTAGGTGTGAATGTTTCAACTGACCACCTTGATTAGCATTTGATGCCTGGCAGTGCCTGGAGCAATCTTTTGTTGAGAAGTGATTAGATGTCCTTGTTTGTTTCCTCTCTGTTGTTGTGCTGTTGTAATTTTAGAGTTTTTTAACACTGGTAGCCAGATTTTGTTCATTTTCATGGTTTCCTCCTTTTTGTTGAAATTGTCCACATGCTTGTGTATTTCAATGGCTTCTCTGTGTAGTCTGACATGGTGGTTGTGAGAGTGGTCCAGCATTTCTGTGTTCTCAAATAATATGCTGTGTCCAGGTTGGTTCATCAGGTGCTCTGCTATGGCTGACTTCTCTGGTTGAAGTAGTCTGCAGTGCCTTTCATGTTCTTTGATTCGTGTTTGGGCAATGCTGCGTTTAGTGGTCCCTATTTACTACTTATTTACATTTAGTGTTGTCAGTGTTAGCGAGACTAACAAACCTTCTGAACAAAAATAAAATTTGGACCCTGGTATTATAAATGAAGCCTGTTTAAATATGCGAATGGTACCAGATTGTATGCGATCTCAAATGCTAATCAGGGCTAATCCTTGTTAGTCCTTGGATGGAAGACTGCCAATGATTACCAGGTGAGACAGGATATATTTCAGAGGAAATAACTGCCAAAACCACCTCTGAATATTCCTTGTCTAATAAAACCCTATGAAATGCATGGGATTACCATAAATTGACAGGTGACTTGAAGGTACACAAACACACGATAAATGAAAGAATGCATCATATCTTTTTAACATCCGTCTATCTGGTAGCACATGGGGTGCAGACCCAAAATTAGTACGAACATCAGCCCTAGCCTTGTTCAACTGCCTTAATCAACTGCCGAGTATCCCTGCCCTGTTTGGCATAGGTCTGCCCATGCAAAGCAGGTGAACATAGCATTGAATGAAACACACAGAATAATCACAGGATGTCTTAAACCTACACCTGTTGATAAACTCTACAAGCTAGCTGGCATTGCCCCCTCTCCCGATGTGTGACGGGAAGATAATAATAATAATAATAATAATCATCATCATCATCATCATCATCATCATCATCATCCTTTATTTGTACCCCACTACCATCTCCCGAAGGACTCGGTGCAGCTTACAGGAGGCCGAGCCCAATTACAACAAGTTGCTGCTAAATGTGAGAGAAATAAGGTTGAACACTGTGAAAGCCACCCACTACATGGCTAACAGCCTCCTCAAATCAAGAAAAAGCTTTATGTGAACTACCACCCCTCTGGGCATCCCCCCAGCAACAACAAGAGTATCCCTCTGGGCAGCTAGACCAGGAAATCCCAACTGGATGACCTCCCACGAGGGTCTTCATCCAGGGGCAAACCAAGAATGGGTACCTTGGAAGTCCCTGAACAGACTCAGAAGTGGAGTGGGCAGAACAAAAGACAACCTGGCAGAATGGCACTACCTAAAAGAATCCCACACCTTGTGCGACTGTGGAGCAGAACAGGCAACTCCGCATCTGTATGCTTGTCCACTATGCCCTGCTTCATGTACAAAGGAAGAATTGTTGGAGGCTACAGGCAATGCCATTGCTGTTGCCCGTTTTTGGTCAAAAGATATTTAGCCACCTGCCTTCCTTCTATTTTTATCGGTTTTATACTAATTTATGCAATGCTTTTGATACGAAATAATAAGCATCTATCTGAGTTTTAGAAATTCCCAAAAGTTATACAGTCAACATGGTTCAAAATGACTAATCTGACATAAGACCTGAAGAAGATCCATCAATCTGTTTCTCCGCAAATCAATCAATGCAATGCAGGCCAGTGCATAAAGCACCAGGGATGATGAGCTTGGCCTCCTGTAGTTCCAAGTTTGACTCTGGCTTCATTTTTGAGTTTACAGAATGTTTCACACTTGCATCACCTTGCCACTCCCTGTTACTTCCATCCTGAAGTTAGATGAGAGTAACTACAATCCAGATATTATGACTGGAAGAGTGTGGGGAAAGCAGAAAGTTTAAGATGATGTTATTGTACTTACACTGCACAATGATGGCATTCTGGTGCAACTTGAACTGTAAACCACTTAAAGGTGCAAAAGATCTGGCCCAGCTAGTGGTTTGAACTTGAGCTTCCAGAATCCTTGAACACTGGACATGTGGAC